CCCAGGTACAATACAATACATATTTATACACTAAGGTTGTACATAAGTATTACATTAATTATTATTACATGTTATTGTATTTATTCAAATATAAACTAAAAACACAATACTCTTCACAACATAAATCTAACTAATTATTTTATTAATAACAAACAATAAAGCCCTGAGGTTACAGAACCTGTGCGGGAAACAAACATTTTTGGTAGTTGGAGCAACTCGTGGTTGGAAAGTCCAGCCCGTCACCATTACCACAGTATTTTTATTACAAAATTAAAACAATATATAAAATTCTTTAATTTTCTGTGTAAAATTTCAAGACCGTCGCATGGCTTAGAGTGATTGGCACTGTTACCATAGCCGATACTAATTTTTTCACCCCCATTCATTCACCCGAATGTAAATGTAAACTCTAAGCGAGTTATGTCTACGCAGCTGCTTGAGTTGGGGGCAGTGAGGCAATGTTGGATTTAGTTTTCTAGCCAAAATTCTTATTGACTATCTTAAGTCAATTAACCCTTAGCACTCTCATGTAGGCCTATGCCCTACGCCCTAGGACCTACAATCTATCAAATCTACACACAATGTAAATGCTTAGCAACAGTATATGCCTACATAACATTTTATTATTTACGTATATCTTAATATCACGTCATCAGGTGCATATACTATTACATGATTAACAGATTGCTGTTATTTTAATTTTGGATGTTTTGATTTTGGTATTACTTATTATTATGTGCAAAAATTTATTTTTACTTTTAACCTTTTTTTAATTGTCCAGATGAACAAGCTAGAATGCTCACAAATAATGCATCGAAACGTTTGCCAGAACCTGCTTCATTACAACCCTCTGAGCGAGGATAATTTAAACGGCAACAGTTCGTGTAACTTTTCTGTACACTAATTAAAAAATCAACGGTTCAGTAACACAAAAGTTAATCAATTTTAACACTTTGGATTTATATAAGACCTTTGCCTGGGCATATACAATGAATATATGTCATTGACAGAATAATTGGAGAAATTTAAAAACTAACACAAAATGTTCCAATTTTCAAATAGCTCTGGAGCCTAAACGGTTCATGGGAGATTACCACATTAGGGGTACATTTTGTAGCAAATTTTGTGTACTTTAATTTTTATAATATAGACTAATAACGAAAAGTTGATAGTTTCTGAGCTATAAGCTAAAAATTACAAAAAATATAATTTTTTCCATATTTTTCTCATTTTTGTCAATGTTGCGTCAAGAATTTTTGTTGGCAAACCTCAGATTCGGATTCAGCACCCCAAAATACATAAGAAATGGAAAAAATCAAAACTACCCCAAAACTTTCCTGGTAAAAACACAAATTAACTGAATTATTTGTTTAATTGATACAGCTGTTAAGATTCATTAATTCCATTTAAATATGAGTATACTCATAAGGTTAACATGGGAAACTCCAGAGCCACTGGGGCGGAGCCCAGAGGTCGGAGGGTAAAATCCTTTCTTAGTGAGCGTCTACTACCCAAAAGGAAGATGCCTGCCAAGTTTCAGGTTCCTAGGTCTTATGGTTTCTGAGATTTCGTGATGTGTGAGTGAATGAATGAGTCAGTGGTATTTGAGCTTTATATACAGTGTGGTAGAAAAGTCCCGGAACGGTTAAATATTTTAAAAAATAATGCAGATAGAGCTAAAATACTTGGTACAAAGTTACAGGGCATAACACTCTATTTTAACACATATTCAGTGATTCAATAACTCTTCAGGGGGACGTCCCACAAGGAGTAAGAAGAAAATCTTAAATGGAAGTATAGGTCAATGTGGTCAATATGCACATCAAATTAAAGGTCTTCACTTTTAGATTACGATGCCGTAAATTCAAGCTCAAAAGAATGCCTGAATAAAAAATGGCAGTCGTTCAAAGATTCAAAATGGCGGATTCAAGAAATCTTTGAACATCTTCCATTTTGCGCAGGATCAACCTTTTGAAGTGAAAATTGCGGCATTGTATTCTACTAAAAAATACCTTTAATTTGATGTGCATATTGACCTATGCTTCTATTTAAGATTTTCTTCCGACTCCTTGTGGGCCGTCCCCCTGAAGAATTGTTGGATCACTGAAATGTGTTAAAATAGAGTTTTATGCCCTGTAACTTTATACCAAGTATTTTTAGCTCTATCTGCATTATTTTTTAAAATATATAACAGTTCCGGGACTTTTCTACCACACTGTATATAGATAGATAAATTATAAGAATAACATAAAAATAAGTACAGCTGAGGTATTTTTAACATCAGGTGTATGGAAAGTTCCCGTTAGAAAGCAATTACGATAAGGACAATAATTTATGAAGCGATGGATAGTTTTGCTTTGCGCAATGTTTTTCGTCATGACGAACATTTTAAGTATATTAGTTTATGAGGGTTTGACTTGTAGTTTTCTCCAAAAAGTTCATGGGTACTTTGGGCTTTACAATATGGACATTGAGTATACGTATACGTGTGACATGAGATATGGATAATTAGTATACTGTTATGTTCACATACTAGAGAAAAAACTGTCGATCTTCAACGTTACACGCAATGCACTGTCTGAGAACTGAGAACAAGGTGCAACTTTTTCAATGTCGATCATTTGGGATGTCAATAATCAGGGACCCCCATGGTGGAAGTTTCCTTCCACCATGTGGGACCCCACGACTGAGATTGGGATCGGGAACGAAATACTTTCATTGTTGCCAGCTCCGAAAATAGTTACTTTTGGTTCGGAGTGATAATTAAAATCCAGAATCGTCAATTTTTCACATGTAATGCTTAAAACCGGAACATTTATTTATAAAGAAAATTGGGAAGAAGCTTATGGTCTAAGAAGAAGCTTATGGGAAGAGGCCACGAGGAAGTCTATGTTGCTGTAGATTTAGACTCAAAATGTAAGATCCATATGGTCATGGCCATCTATGCTTTTACTTTCTCAATACTGTACCTAAAAAGGAGTAAAAAGATCCAAAAGAAGATAGTCAACAGGATAACTCTAACATATGAAGTCTTAAACTGAAACTCTTTCATCTTTACTGTGGAGTAAAAAATCTAGATTCATCTCATTATCTAAGCTCACATTTCAGAACTCTGAAGTGCCAATAGAGACATATGATTCGAGAAATTGATATTGTACGTTTGTACCATGACTAGCTATTGCAATACTGCAAATTTTAGTTCAATATAAAATTATTTGATTTGTCTACACCTTTACACAAATTTTAAAGTTAAATTATATTTTTAGTAGGCTCATTATGACTATAGGTCGGCCGCTTAGAAAGCGACCTCCTCAAGCATTGGTTTAGCATTAGCGCGCAGGTCGTTTTCTAAGTGGCCGAACCATAGTAGCCTAATGATAATAGCCAATCATTATGTATAACTCTATGAAACTTGAGCTGTATTTTATTTTGAAATCTAATTTTAATAACTTCTTGATCACCATATTATTGTACGTTTTATTTAATTTACGGTAAGTAAACAAAAGAAACGTCTTATAACACTTAAAACATAAATTTACGCTTACTGTTACGCACAAGACGGCAGATATACAAAAATATCCCCGTCGCAGCAAACCTGCATACTAAGCGAATTTCCATTCACCAGGCTCGATTTCTACTAAAATATTCCCTATAAATTTTCAGATTTATTTCCTATTTAAATAACATTAATTTTAGTGAGTAGTTAGGTTTGCTGCTACGGGAAAGATGTTGAGGTGTGTTTTTCAATTGAAATATTGATAGCTTAGTATGAAATAAGCCAAATTGCCAAATTTGATTGAAATATATCCATAAACAAGCAAACTAGAACAGTTTATTTATTCTCCATAAGAATAACATGGGAATTTTAAATTTACAATTTCTTTAATTTTCTCCGTAGTCAATGAATATTCAAAAAAACTTCAATATACTAAATTATTTGTTTTTTAAGCTCTTCAAAATGGTGTAGAGAGAAATTTAGAAATTTAAAGTTTTTAGGGTCAAAAATGAGAAAAACTCATTTTTACCCCATAAAACCCCCCATAAACCCCTGATCCCATGGTCCGATTATGCTGGTTTGCGAACTCGTTCGAATAAATGTAGGTTTACACGTTTGTACCAAATTTCATCAAAATCGGATCAATTTTGCTCGAGTTATCGCGCTAACGGACACATATATAAATATATATATATATGAATTTGAACGGATGGTGTTTTTGGCCTCTGGGGACCTCAAAACGAAAAAGTAAATCGGTCCCGGGTCTAGGTCTTACCATGAGACCTACGGTAATAGCTTATTCCCTATATGGGAAATTCGCTAAAAGATGGTAAGTGGTGATTGATTTCGATTGGAGTGTGTTTTAAAGAGTCTTTTTGTAGTTAATGCATACTAACTGGCTACTGCAGTCTTAATACAGCATCCATATTGGAGTTTTTTGCTTATACAATCAAGGTACCTTCCTCAAAACAGCCTTAAGCCCTCAAAATTTCCCCTCCCCCCTTGTGTTACAATGGCTCGAAAACGATGTTAAAAAAAATGGATATGGAATTTTCTTGCTGATTCACAGTGCAAGAGTGCAAGCATAGATAAAACTTACTCCTCAACGAGTATGTTTTATCTATGGTGCAAGTACGGGCAAGACTACATCAACGATCGGATTGGACGATTGGATATTATAATGATCTACACTTTATGGTAGAGAAAATTTGTTCTGTTCTGACATCATACTTCGCTTAATAATGACGATGAAAGTATTATGTGATCTATAATAATAGATCTAAGTTATTAATTAACAAAAAAATGGCTCGTGAAGCTGCGTTACAAGGAAACATCTGGAAACAAACAAACTGGTACTTGTATACAGTATTAAAAAATGTTCTGTAACTTGAAAATTATAAACAATGCTTAACTCGTTGGAAAAAACTTCCATTTAGTCTGTGCCGAGAATCTGAGGCCATTGGCCGACCTGAAATGTAGCAAATTTGATGAAAGACGGTGACGGCGTTCTTCTCTTCCATCATAGTAGATATCGTCGTATTTGCCATGGATCAAGTTTGACATATCTCAAGAAAATCGAGGATATATGATATCGCAGTGTATTTATATGGTTTATATGTGCGTGATCAAATAGGTTATTCGCTTATATTGTCCATTGTGCTGTGATTCACCAATGTGTATCTCATAGACATTTATCGGGTCAGCAGTCATCCTTCACTTAAGAGACGCTGAGTTTTTATTCTAAAGTCATAAGTATAGGTAAGCAAGGGGTGCAGGAACCCTCTTTAGTATATTGAAATCTATTTAGATTTTATTTAAGCTACAAGTCATTGATTCAATTAGGTCCATATGTACTGGTATTTTGAAGAATTAAGAAATAGGCTTGGCCACTTAGGTCTAGGCTGCCTTACAAATTAATACAGTGACCCCTGGATGTAAATTCATGAATTTAGCCTCTATTATTTAACCCTAGCAGTGGCTTACAGTGACACCTAGAATGACACCAGTGTAATACACTAGGCCTAGTAAGTTTATGGGCCAACATTTTTTAACCCTCGCGCGGGCGCTTGCGGAGTTTACCTTCACACTTGCAGATTTTGTTGATATAAATATGCATAATGGGTGTCAGCAGTTGTGTCTGGCTCTACACTTCACGTACCTCATCCTGGGAATGCCCTTACATTAAGCTATTTTACCCCCGAATTCCTCCTCATTTTTTTGTCATATGCAATTCAGTGACGCGGTGTCAGTTTGCGGAGGTTTACTCCACGTGTGCCCTATCGCGTAAGTCCTTAGCGCAGAGTTTTATTTCCTCATGCGCTATTGTCAAACTGTGTGTACTTATATTTTATACTGTAGGCCTACATGTTACATTCAAAATTATAAACATGTCTACACTAACTGTATTATTTCACTTATAATTATTATTAAATTATTTTGTTTGAATGTATATATGTATAATTAATTGCATTATTGCGGAACAAAACTCCGCAAGCGGCAAGCGCCCTCTCTCCTAACATAAGTTACCTTTACTACTTAGAAAATTGCTCCATATAATTATTTGAAATTAATATTACTCATATAAAGTTAAATAAATAATGTTATCAACAAAGAAATTAGGTTTCTGATTAGGTTATTCAACATTTACATAGGCCTCTAATATTTTGTTATAACAACAAGTAGGTAAAATGGGTATGCTATTCAGTGATGTGGAATAAAACTCTGCATGTGCCCGCTCCTGTTTTATTGGTGAAGCGCCTCCTTGAGGGTTAACGGTGAAAAAACCACTTAGATATAATTAACTTTGATATGAACAATATATATATATATATATATATAAGTAACTTACCATTTGAAAGATCACATTCTGAACTTTCATTTTGTTATAAAAAAAAACCCTGTAGCAGGTAGGCCTATATAACAATGTCACGACTAGAAATCAATAATTCTAATTCACGATTAGAAATCAAATGAATTTTTGCCACGGCACGACTTTTGCAGCTGACACTTGGGAACTGTTAAAACACGACTTGTTTGGCATTACCCTGCTCGGGTAATTTTCGTCTTGATGTGTTGCGGGTGGTACCACTGGATAGCCATTGATTTTATATCTTCATTGTGGTATGATATTTAGAACGAAATATTGATTGCACAACAGGTACGATTTTATGATAACAGCTGTTTTTTAAATTTATTAACAAATGGCCAACCAGCGTAATACGCTAGTATGGAAAATACAAGTTACATAGGTTCAGTGTAAGTTATTATTACCGTACTAGCACAGAAAACGTACTACTATACCCAGAATGCCAACCGCATGGTAAAAAGCATTAAGCGGTTTGAGAGAGCTTTGCCTGTCAATCCGTAGGCAGCGCCACCAGCGTTGCCATGCAATAGCATAGCAACGCTGGTGGAGCTGCCTACGGATTGACAGGCAAAGCTCTCTAAAACCGCTTAATGCTTTTTACCATGCGGTTGGCATTCTGGGTTATAGTAGTACGTTTTCTGTGGTACTAGTCATATAGGCTAATATCATTTTGAAGAGGAAGAAATGTAGCTTGTGATAGTGGCAGCCCTGCGCTCAGGGTTATTTCTGTTTTCTCTCACTAAGACGACGAAAGTTCGTCACTACGGTACTGTCAAGGTCTCATACACAAAGCGCCTTGTATACTGTACGCCATTGCGTGTTGTTGCTGGTGAGTTTTCGCTCTCGTTTTATCCACGATTTATTAGGTGCTTAGGCTACCTACTAAATTTGTTATTAATTTCATATTGTTAGAGAAATGTGTGTGTGTAATCTTCATGCATTTTCCTATGCATGAATATTTACCGTACAGTACTGAAAAGTGTGAAATTGTGTTTATAAAGGGTTTTATTTTTTTTGGGTTGTATTTTGCGGTATTCCGTTTATTTATATTATCATGCCCCTAGCACGGAAAAACAAAAATTATTACCCACGTGTTATACATTTTTATGTTTGTAGGCCTAATTGAATACCTACACTACAAGATGTTTAAATGTTGGTTTGGAGTAAAAAAAAACATTTGGTACGAAAGTTTTATACTAGCTAAATACTATGGGTACATTTTTTTCACAAAATTGCTAAAATACAAAAACATTATTTTATTTATAAATAAAAAATTATTTTTACCATAAACTTTATGACTTTTTTGGATTCCTTACTTTATTAGCTACAAACATGTAGGGTATATATCATTATTAGTTTACACATATATTATATAACTTTTTACAACACAAACTAACACTGTACCACGGCTTTCAATTTTTTCGGTTCTCTGTTTGTTATTATATTTCGCCCCAAAAACTTATAAAAAAAATATATTTTCCTACCAAGTTATATAGGCCTATTTCTATGTAGGGAATTATATTGTCTACAAAATGTATATAGGTAATTAATTTCCCATAAGAAAATCTGTAGAACAAATTGTACCGAGGCTGCTTTTAAAATAAAAAAAAATTCTTATTTTGTTATTTTTTAACTTTGCCGAAAAAATACACTGTCTAAATCATTATTATATTACTATTTCTTGATTCTCCTGTTCTTTCCAAACAAAATGAATATAAGGTTGGCTAGGTTTACTTGTACGATTGAATTTATACGAATTTTCAAAAAAAAGTCTGCAAAATCGCCAAAATGGGTTGGCCATTCCCCACTTTCAACATTGGCCACTGCTAGAGGTTAAGTTTTATCTCTAAAATTTATGGTATAGGGATGAGCATCGATAAGTCAACCATCGCAAAAACATTGGATGATGCGATGTTGATTTTGTCGTCTGCTCTTTCTACTGCCTTAGCTTAGGCCTATTAACCGGGTAGACTTCCGTATATGTTGTCAAAAACAACCGAATGAAAATATTGATCGTTTCATCCGATATATCGTTTGGTTGGTTAGGTTTGGTTAACCAAATTATCGTCAAAATCGATACTGTCACATATCAATCGATATTTTCATTCGGTTGTTTTTGACAACAGATACGAAAGTCTACACAATTAACCCATTAGCACACTCTTCTAACATTGATTGAATAGCCTACTTCCTTGCATTGGTTAGTCTAAAGCTGCTTAGCTAGACGTTCTAGACAGAAAGTTTTTCTTTCATATTTTGCAAGACGATTACAAAACCAATTTCGGTATTAATTTAAGTTAGGCCTACTATGCCGGATAGCAGGAGTGCTGCCACAGAAATGTTACACCCCAAAGTCCCTTTAGGTCTATTAGTCCAGTTGGCGAAATACTTTTGGATTCTATTCACTTTAAAAATACCATACCGGTAGCTTATAAGCCTTTCAATAGAATTTATTGTTAAGAGCAACATTTTAATTTTTTTGGTCAATAAGTAGGTACCTAACATAAGAAGTTAAGTTAGGAAACATCAAATACAGGATTTTAGGCATACTTACTTGGCCAAAAACATCAATGTTCAACAACAACATGGTGTAAGTTAACAAACATACATCGATAGAAAACATCGACTAACTCAAGTTATTGATGCTCATTCCTAAGTACGGTACCGTACGGTATGGTAGTGTCTGGTTACATTTATATATTTAGGTACAGTACGGTACCTATTTAAGGGTGTTGGGTAAGTTACCACTTGCTGTTTTAGGCTCTTAAAATTGGTTTAAGATCCAGCCCTACCAAGATTGATAGTAGGCCTAGGCATAGAAGATATTTTAGTGAATAGGCCTTATAGGGTATATGGGAGAGTAATAGCATAGACAAATAGAATAAATATAGACCATCAACAGTGCTGCATAGCATATGTTTCGGCACCCACCGCTAGGGGTGCCGTGTAGTTACGGCGCACACCGCTGCAGCGTCTGCTGGTAGCATACGGCTCCTGCGCTCCTCGCCTGCAGCAGTGTGTGCCGTAACTACACGCACTCCTAGCAGTGGGCACCGGAACATTCCTTTGACAGTCTGTATTGTTTCTATTTGTCTATGGTAATAGCTTGGTTCTTGAAGGTTTAAAATATATATTTTTTGGAAAAGTGGTAGCTTTATAGATAGAAATACAATATCTAACGAGTAGGTTAGGATGGTTTGGTTATTAATTTCATAAAAAAAAGAGGATTTAAATACAAACTGTCTTCTTTTTAAATTCATCTCTTTGAGATCTTAGGCTACCACGCAAAATAGCGTAAGTTAACAACTTTTGTTTTTATAATTAAAACTTAGCTTGTTTTTTATTATCATAAACTGAAGTATAGTAACCTGACCGCCGCACCATATCATCTGTTATTTTAGCCCACAGAGCATAGAATAAAATATAGAGTCGCCACTCCAATACTTACAGCTATACCAGTAGTGAAGCCGATTTCCGCCATCTTGACTTGGTAAGAGAGTCGGACTCGGAACTTTGAAAACACGGCGCAATTACCACTGTGTTATTCTATGCTACTTTATGGATTAGATGAAGCTACTGCTCCGAGGATACATATAGAACTATCCCCCCTTCGATATTGACCTAGGACTCAGCCCCGCGGGCTTTTAACGTTCTGAGGTGAGAGTTTTAAAAGTAAATATTGATTGGTGGTTTCCATGGTAACAATATAATGGTTTAAATGTAAATGCAGACCAGGCCGGCCGCCATCTTAGTACTAGAAGCCTGCTTCACTCCAGACGGCAAGTGCCGCCTCTACATTTATTCTATGCTCTGTGTTTTAGCCTACTTCCTTTTACAAGACCCTTTATTATTAAACACCTTTATTGTTACATAAATAATTTATCTATTCGTC